CCAGAGCAAATAAAACATGAGCTCTGGTTCCCAGGCTGTAAGCCCTGTATATTGAGAGGAAATTTCTTTACATTTGTTGAAGTCATCTTTAATTCATCACGGCGATGCTAAAATGGTAAGATCCAAAATGTATTTTTCATGCGCAACCAGACCGAGAAAGAATTAGGATTCCCATGTGTTGCAATATTTTAACACTTAACACATAATAGACAGCGTAAATAAGCAGTGTAAGGAATTTAATATGTTTTGATAGATATTTTTTCTGCTGACTAATGCCAGAGCTGACCCTGTCTGATGTTTCAGTTAAATGGATTTGAGTTCATAGACAGCTTTCCCCCTGCGGTTAATTTACGTCTGCATTCCTGACATAAGCTTATTAGATAATGAGCGAGATAAGATACAGCAGATATGGAAACCATTTGCCTCGGAAGATTTATTTTCTTTTTTTTCTCCCGGCGCAGATGGACAGAAGAGGAAAAAGTCGCTGAGGAGGAAGTTGGACTCGCTTGCAAAAGAGAAGAGTAAAGACAAAGGTACGCCAAGTTCCTCTAACTCTCTCTCTCTCTCCCCCTTCTCTTTCAGCCTCTCTTTGTCACGACTATTAACATCTCAGCTCTTCTGCCAGAGGGCCAGTCTATGGTCTCCACCCCTCGGGCAGGTGAACAGTGAGGTTATGACAACACAGTTTCTGTTTACTGGGCTTTGACAGTTTATATTTAGCTTAAGTGAAGGGACTCCTTGTAAGGGGACTGGCTCTGAGAAGCAGCTACTCTGCTGCACTAAGCACAGCATATTTGGCAGAAAGAGAAAAGGATCTAAGTCAAAGGAGCCCAGTTGCAGAGAAGGAGTAGGAGATAAAACGAGTCAGGCTTTTCTTGTCAAATTTGTGAGTGTGGGGGCTGATCCCACATCTCGTTTACAATACACACACACATGCAAATGTCAAAAATACACACACCAGTGCTGATTTTTGCTTAGCCTGCACTGTTCTCAAGTAAGTGACTAATACAGACTAGATGAGTAAGTAATGGTAATTGGCATTAATGTGATAGTCTAGGTTTAGAGGGATTTAGCAACTGCATTCTTGTGACTTCATCATTCGAACTACCAGTGTTTTATGTGAATCATACCAATATACAGTATTTGTATTAAGATTTGTATGTCAGTTTCAGAATATCTCAAAAATGACATGATGCTTTGCAAGTGTTACAGTACTGTATGTAACACTGTTTTAAGATACATTTTTTGGGAGAAGCTACCCCATCCTGTAGACTTTAAAACATGACTAAGCAACATTTAAAAAAAATAAAAAGGACACTTTCTTTCTCTTACAAATAAAAAGTTTAATAACTGCTTAATTCAATGCGCTCTCAGGGGTTTTGTTGCTACAACCTTATTTGGTCTGGTCTGACCAGTAGC